CATATTCCTTACTTCTTAAATACACATCGGTTTACTTATCTTGGAAATATCCTTTCCTTAAGTACTGTTTTTTACACTTGGATAGCAATACGGATGAGTATTGGTACAAGTATTTTGGTCAAAGTTTCTTTAATTTCATTCGCAATTGTTAAAGATTTCTCATTTGTGGTACTTTTAACTTCAAGCAACTTAGACTGCAAACCACCATTTTTCCAGTCATAATATTGTACAACTATCGGGAAAAGTTTTGTAGCCTTATGATTACTGCCGTCTGTCGCTACTCCGAGATACAAAATATCATGTTGTTGAATACTATTTAAGGCATGTTGAACAGTCATCGGGGCTAGAATATTATTCACAATAGCTTCAACTTTCGTCCGAGCACAAGAATATTTTTTTGAAATATTTGAATCTGGGAAAATCTTCTTCATTATGTACAATCGTTAGATCTGTAACTCTGGTGATGTTTACACAGTGAAACGCCATTGTAGCTTCGGCGAAAGCACATTTTCTTCAATTTGAGTCCCAGACGAACAAAAGTAGTCGATCACCTTGGCTGATGATGTCTCTCCTCTAACAGATGTTTTATGCTTGGAACTCTCAACGTGCAACTGTAAGCTGAGTTTGCCTTTATTCGCCACAGAAACGAAAGTACCGTATAGCCACACGAAATGCACTCCGCTTCGCTGTCAGTTCGACCTTTTCTGAAGCATGGGTACTTTTGCTTTAGTTCCTGAGTGAAAAGGGTCTTTCTTTTCGGCATAGTGTACTGGGTTTACAGGCGCATGGATCTGCCACAATCGAAACTTCACTGAATTGCGAAATACAAAGTGAAGTGACGTGAAACAGAATTGCACTACAATGCCAATTTTACGTCATGAACAATTGTACAGATTAAGCATGCATTTAACCTAGACTCCTAGAGTAATGCATTGCTTGTCATATCTAATGATGATTACAAGTCTCTATTTACTTTAGCATTTTCTTAACACATCAAAAATTGTTGGTTATATCATTATAAGATTTGAATATTTAATCCCGTGCAAAAGGAGGACATTTTGACGTTTTAGAGCGTCCTCGTAGGACAGAAAAATTTAAGCGTGAATGGAGGACAAAACCTCCAAAAAGAGGACGCATGGTCACCCTAGCGAACATAGTAATGTGAGAATATATTGCCCGAATATATTTAGTTTTGATACATATTTTTTCGATCTTGCAAATTTGTTATCGCTGTTGGAAAAATCCTACTATCTGCTATAAATTTCCAGAAAGTACAACTCGATTTAGCATCTATCAAAAATATATTAAAAGTATATTAGTAAATCAAAAATACATATTCATCGCCTTGCTTTACTATTAATTTAATTGTGATGATTTTAATCTGCAGTTGTGTAGACCGAAATAAATGCAATACTACTCAGAGAATATCATGACATTACGTGGACACAAAAATGCGTGGTAAAGTGCCCGATTATATTTTGTTTTGATTCGCATTTTTGTGAATTTGACAAATCTGAGCTGTTCGTACAACACCTACGACGCTCCAGTACTGTACGTACCAATGTGAAGGCAGTAAAGCAAAAAATCCTAAGGAAAAATGACCGGGTACGTATACTACGGTAGCACCCGAAATTTTGCGATTTGCAATGTCTAAAAAAGCGTTTTTAATCGGTCGCGGACCATCATAAAACAAGACTTATGGTGTTCTGCATTTTATTTTTAGTATTTTGTATTGCCGCTTTTCAATTAAGAAATTTGGTTGAGATGAGAAAAGTGAGTTGTGAAATCCAATCTTTTCATTAAGCGACGCGTCACCTGTTAGTTACCAAATTTTCAAATAATAAATTGCTATTCTAATAGTTGAATATTCAAATATATGCACAGTCCTACTTATTAACCAGTATTTATTGACTAGAATAATGTTAATATAAGTGACTAAACTAACTAATAATTCTAACGTAAATCGTAACTTGGCTGATAGTTAAGTTTCGCAAAACGTTCGCAGCCCGCAGTGAATTTCTGGCTCGATGCGGACTCGTTCAAACGCTCCGCGGACTCATCTCGGGTTGGGAAACACTGGCTCAGATAGATATCAATCAATCGTTTATTCGTCGTCACAAAAACAACAAATGCACAAAAATTGGTACAGGAAATAAATATAATAAAATTCGGGGGCGCAGCCCTGGACATGAGTCGAATCGTTTTTTTTTTTAATAGTGTTAGGTTTACTTACAATAATTTTATTCTTTGCGTTATCACTTTTGCGCAGCGTCCGATCTCATTAATCATGTTTACGATTCGTTATCGCTGTTACGCGGCAGTGGAGCTAGCTGCCAGCGGGGGGTTACGGAAGTCACAATCTTCACTAAACGATTTTAAATTCAATTGTAGGCTACTAACTTTCACTTGACACAAATAGCGACGGACGTATCACACTATTGCCATCAAAACTATTCCACAGGCGCGCTCTCGCCTCGCCACATTCAACGCACCCATACTTTTAATCACATACGTTATCGTTGGTTATCGCTAACTACGAATTTTAGTTATGTAGTGCATCTTTAACAAGCGATGGCACCAGGTTCATAAGCAAATAACAGACAAAATGAATTATTGGAAATGTATGGTTTATTAACAAAGGATTGCCAAATGTGGCAGCATCGAAAAAAAAGTTTCATAAAATAATATTCAATCTTCGAAAACAAAGCATTGCAAAATAATGTTCAATCTTCGATAAAAAAAATATTGCAGAATAATGTTCAATCTCCGAGTAAAAAGTATCGCAAATTAATGTTCAATCTTCGAGTAAAAAGTATCGCAAAATAATGTTCAATCTTCGAGAAAAAAAATATTACAGAATAATGTTCAATCGGGTCTTACTACTTACTGAATACAGCGCGAAACACCGCAAAGAACGCAAAACAGCGCAAAAGAGCGCGAAACAGCGCAAAATAGCGCGAAACAGAGGAAAACAGCGCGAAACAGAAGGAACCCAGCGCAAAACAGAGGGAAACAGCGCAAAACAGGAGACGCAGTCATTACCACCTCCTGCCACGAAAGAACCACGGCGCCTCTCGCCATGGTTTTATGGCGTTATTTCCGGCATATTCACAAGGTTATGTACCGGATTATAGGTCATCATGCGAAATTTTATCTACCTTTGTGGTGCTCCAGAAGTATGTGCAGCAATCAACCTGAACAACTTGAATCCGCTACACACACACACATACTATTTTCAGGTTGTGCGCCATCTTGGTGCACATACTTCTGGAGGTCCCTTTTAACCCTAAAGCCAACCATATCCATATGGAAAATGTTCTAAATTATGGTACCCAGAATGTGTCACCAGCAGGGGCAGACCTGCCATTACAGCATTACTGGCTACATACGTTGGTTTGTGTTTTTAATTTGCTGCCGTGGTACTCCAACTCAAAACAAGGTGCCCCGAACTCATTGCAAAATTTTTTTCTGCTTCACACTGTTTCCCTCTGTTTTGCGCTCTATTGCGCTGTTTCCACACTGTTTTGCGCTGTTTCCCTCTGTTTTGCGCTCTTTGCGGTGTTTCGCGCTGTATTCAGTAAGTAGTAAGACCGTGTTCAATCTTCGAAAAAAGTATCGCAAAATAATGTTCAATCTGAAGAAGCGCTATGCGCAGAATGCAGCTATCACGGGCGCGGGATTTCAAATTCGCGACGATTTCACTTTCAGTAATATACGAGGTCTCGACTCGACGCATTGCAATAAAAATTAGAATTTATTAACAGTTAATTGCAACAAGCAAGAGTTTTACATTGAAAGACGTTCTCAATCAGTACGATACATGAGCTTGTTTTTAAACGATTGTAATCGTTTTATGAAGTTATATTTACGGGGACATCAAATATATTTATTTTGGAAATGGTTTGATATTTCGTGACGTATTCAAAAATAGTTTATGAAACATTGGCATTTGGCAAATATCATTAATTTATGCTATTTATTCGTGTTTCATGATTGCTAATATTTCATTCTATTCTTATTTCACATTTTTTGCGTTGCTACAATTAAAATCATGTGTGGCATTTTATTTAACCGCTGACAATGGGGTAATAATCGGCGATTACTAAAAGGTTGAAATGGGACATGCAAAAACAAAATAAATGTATTATTAACAAACTGGTAATAATATGTTAATGAATCGCCGCTAAAAGTAGAGAAGCGTTATGTGCAGATATCACAGGAATTAAAATTCGCGACGAATTCACCTCCAGTAATATAGTTAACGGCGCATTGAAAAGTTGATTATTCTTGACCAAAGAGAATGGTCGGCGATTGCTGAAAGTAGGACATGCAAATTATTTATTTATTATTTAATTATTGAAAATTCCACTTTGTAGGAACCATAAAAAAAAAAAGTAGGACATGCAAAAAAAGGCTAATGAGACACAACGCCGCACATGTTGTTTTGCCATCATCGGAACATCTTTTTAAAGACCTATAAACGCGTTCTTATTCCACCGTGCCCCCCCCCCCCCCCCCCCCCCTTGAAAACATCCTGGCTGCGCCCCTGATAATATTGTTAGACGTGCGACAGGAATCGCGAGGGACCTTGTTAGGTCTTCAAGCAGCGACATCTAAAGCGCTGTTACTACATGGTCAGATGGTTCAGTGTAAAAAATACGATGAACTCGGCTAAAATTATATGTATATTAGGTCATTAGATAAGCGACGTGGTTGTATATTTTGATGAAAATTATGGTTTTGAGGATGTGAATCAGATTGTTAGTGTCAACTCCCCAAAGTAATAAATAAGCATCCAAAATTTCAAGTGCAATTTTACCATAGTGAAGTCACTGAAGTGTAGGGAGAATTTTTTCTGGGGTCAATGGTCGGGTTTTTGGTTTTATTTAACCTTCCCACTGTCTTACTGTCTAACTTTAGACTCAGTTGAGCGGGTATTTGTATCAGCATCATGGTATCAGATTGCATTTTATGCCACCAGCCAACTACCAGGCTTTGCCACCAGCCAACTACCAGGCTTTCTCTATCAACTCTACCTCAAATTATTGAAACTTTCAAAATACTTATAAATGCTATTGAGATTCAAGCAACTAGTTCAGGTATGCTAGCAATATTTATTAGTAAATTTCAAAATTTGATTTCGTGTTCACTAATAATTTGAATTATGTATCGGTACAGCGGTATAATGAAGTAATCTTCTGAAATTCTTTATTGGATACCGTACGATTAAAGAAGAATTGTTCAGTTTCGCATCCTGAGCAATAAATTTGAGACATTAGTCTTGAAAATAAAATTTCTAACTAGAATTCTACTAATACAGTAGTACAGTTTTAATAGCACTATTATATGTTCTAGAAAATACAAGACTGCGTGAAGTGCAAGCACTGAATATTAAATTATCTGAAGCAAATGAAAAGTTTCAGAAAGTTCAAGATGAGAAAAACGCTGCTGAGAAGAGATCTGATGTTTATAAGAGAAAGTTTCTGGAGTAAGAGCTCTTGATTTCTCTTCTCACACGTCTATAGCCTATACTGGCAAGTACTCAAAAATATAGTCTATGACAACAAACATGCCTATATTCGAATTTTAGGATTCCTCTTTGAGCAGAAAATTATGAGATAAAATTTGACATTGTTAATCATTGACTTTCTGCCAAATGGTAAATTTCACTGAGAACATGAAAAATTTATTTATATCTCAAACTATGCAAAAAAAAAAATAATCCCAACAAATAGCACAAATTCAGTTTCAATATATTTAAGTTATCTGTGACAAACCATACAATTTTGACAGCGTAAATTTATAGCTTCTCACCAAAGCCTCTTTAATAACTTCATTTTTACTTAGTCAATAATGTCAAATGTTTCTAATTTGCATTATTTTGCAGTAAGTGCTATTGTACTCGTATCTGCAGATAATACAATGATAAAAACTTATCTGACCCCTGAACTGGCTTCCTGTTTAATAAGAAAAGGTATCCAGAATTGGATGTATGTGATGACCTTTTATTAATTTTTATTTCAGCGCTCAAAATGCCATCAAGGAACTACATGAGAAAAATATGCAACTCTCAAGTCAAAAAATTTTGAACAAAAAATATTCAGGAAAGTTTCCATTTTCAACATTTCGGGACAAAAGTGAGTTTTCACCTAAGACACAAAAGATAATTCTTGCTCCTGATACATGTTTTGCCGAAGTTGAATCTTATGATGTTACATATATAAGTAGTGATGATGACGACTTCCAGCAGGAATCTAAAAGAAACAGTAAATCTCCAAAAATGGAAAAAGTAGAAACTCCTATTCCTGCAAAAAAATCTGTCGCTGAAAGTTTTTTTGCGAAGCCAATAAAGTCACCTGTGCGAAACATAGGAAAAAAGAGAAAACAACCTGTGACCCCGGTTTTAGACTCTGATATGGATGAAACTAGATTGGATATTGAAGAAAAGATGGAAACAACTATAGACTTTGGTGCTCCATTGAAGCATACAAATGGTAAGTAGCCTATATGAAAAGGTTTCTACATGGATAGTTTAATAAGAGCTCAAGTTATTATGAAGTTGCTGTTAAATAAATTGAATTTGTCCACTAATTATTATTCAGTAGTTTATTTTCTCACGATACTGAAAGAAAGCACACTTCATATACAAATTGCAATAAATAATGAAAAAGCATTTCGGGTTGAGGGGAGCCGTGGAAAAACAAATTGGGGTATCGAGCAGCGGCACTCAAAAGAAAGTCTAACAAGAAAATAATTATGAAAGTCAAACTACGGTATATACCGGTACATGTTATTTGGAAAAGAACAATACCTACATCAAGGCATGCCAACCTGGTATGCCCAGAAGTTGCGCTAGGCTGCAAAGGACTTTTAATCAATTCTGCCACGAACGTTACTTAAAAATATTAGTTGGAGTCGGTTGTTGAATCTTGTAAGATGCCTTCTTTTTACTGATTTTGACTTTTTCGATCCCATAATTTCCACTATTCTATTTGTATAATGAACTTTGAATCTTTTATAGTCCTGACAGATTCAGAGATTTTAGAAGTATGCAAAGACCCCGATTCCATTCCACCATCTCCAATATTATCTGCTAAAAAACAAAAGCGTTATGTATCTGGTTTACATTGTGGATCAAATGAAAGTTCGGTAAAACTATCTGGATCATTGAAAGAAGTAAAAATTGAAAAAACTTCAAATTTTCCCAAGATTCACATTTCCAGTATTAAAAAGGTATATAGAACCTAACTTGTATGCCATGAATTTAGGTTTTAATTATGATGAGTTCAATGGATTGTTTTTCATTGCTTGCTAAAACATAATGGATAGTTTATCTTTTGAAAACTCCATGATACATACTCATTAAAAATGGAGGATTCTGGAGAGCGAGTAAAACTACATCAGAAATATCAATTGCCCTCTTGCGAGCACACTCTCAAAAGAACCTCATTACTTGACGCTTGGGGAAGAAATGAAGAAACAAAAAATATGCGAATGTATTGGACTTCGGGGCCATTGTACTTTTAGAACACTTGAGCTAATAATGACGTGTTTAATCTGATATAAAGATAAGTAAGACTATTTCTATCTTCAATCTAATCATCCAGTTACCAACCCACCTTATACTTTGTAGCAGGTAATTTGAACTTTTTAATAAGAGCATGCAATACTTTGCAGTTACTTTCTCTTTGGTTTAATCTCCTCTATATTTTAAATGTTCAACAGAAGTCTGTTAATGAAGCAGATGGGTTTGGTGATTCAGAAAAATGGAAACAAGGTAACTAACTAACCCAATAGTTTTAAGGTAATTTTCTGGGCCAGTGTTTAGTATTTTTCTGGCAATAAGACAATTTATTGTTTATGCCTGATTTTCAACAAATGAAGTCTTCTAACATGAAGTTGTAACAGACCATAACACTTTTCTATTTATGATGTTTAGAAAATCCAATATTGGACAGATTGCCATTGCATCGTCTTCGACAAACAACACCAACACAGCATGATCCTGGGAACACAAGCCTTGATGAACTATTTGATAAAACATATGGAGATTTGGAAACAACCGCAATGTTGAATAATACTACCTCTCATGACAATGCTAATGTAATTTGTACAACATAAATACCAGTACATTATCATTTTTAGTTACCGTATTCTTTCTAATTCCAGGGATTAGTTGCTTCTTATGTTGCCTTCAGATGCTTAATTAAGTTAATATCTTGGGAATGGTAGAAGTATGTACTGTTATTCAGCGAACATTCTCTTTCCTCTATTTGTTCATGCTTTGGTTCAATTTTAGTTGTATTGTTTGATCTGTATCAATACATGAGTACTTTTACTCTGTTAAATATACCTAATAATTTCAGATTTTGCCACAAAATGACACTTTTTTATCAGGAATTTACAATATTAACCGAATAATTGAAATGGTGCCAATTTTTCGAATAGCGATATTTAAATTTTATTTATTTTGAACAGATTTTCTTGAACATCCCCAACGAAAATTGGCTATGTCTAAACTAGTACTTTTTTTGAAAATATTTTAGAGATTTTATTGATGTTTATTCTTACATATCAGGCCTCTAATTATGATGAAACAAATTTAAATGAAGAAGATGAGGAAGAATTGGATTCTCTACTCTTGGAGGGATTGCCTGAAGAGGCTGTTGCTCCTCCATCTCAGAATATTGTGCTATCTAAAAGCAGGGATGAATTTCAAACAAATAAATCTCCGAAAAATGAATCGGTTTGTAAAATTCCGAGACCACTGCTTGATGACAGTTTTGATGTTCTGCCAAGCAAAAACAAAGGAAGAGATTTTAAATACCAAGAAGTTGTTCGGAAAAGAGATGAAAGAGAAAAACTTGATGGTAAAGCATGTGCTCAGTGTGAAGCCTATTATGGGTAAGTGATTTTTTTGCAATGTCAGCTGTGCAGGATCTTCAAAACAAAGCAGTGTCAAACTTTTCGACCTTGTGCATTGGATTACTGGTATTTGTAAATGTGCTTGCTCAATATGCTCATGCATATTGTTTTTTTTTTAGCTTGCCTTATCAATTAAACTTTATTTACATTGAATGCTCTTCAAATCGATAACCTTTAAAAATAATACTTTCGTAACAGTAAGCAGTAGCAATTTTTCCATATTGAAATGATAGGAAATTCTGGAACTCTTGTTAAAATCAATTGCTACTTCTAAAATAAAGATATTTCGAAGATGAAAAATTCTTAGTATTGTTTCAACTAAACTTTTTGTATCTTAATTGTAATTACTAGTTATTAGGTAATATGCTGCTATGGAGCTTCATGAATTAGAATGTTACACATTTACGTAGTTTATTTTGAGTATGAGATATAGCTGCTAATATCATTCTGGAAAAAAATTATATAACTGATGAACTCGCGAATTTTGGAAATGTAACTTAGCGCTCGTTTTGAGATTATTGTTATACAAATGAATAGAAATCTGCCTGAAAATGAAAGAAGAGAAATAATGAAGAAGGTATGCAGACACAAACATGTAGATGCTCCGCCTTCTACTCCTGAACATTTTTGGGAAGTTGGCATTCCTGGAACTGCGGAATGCAGAAGAAGAGGTTGATTTTTTCATTTGTTTTATATTAACAAACTCTGGATTTTTAACCAAGTACTGAGATGATTTTCAAGTTTGTGCATATTATTTTTTTCAACTATTATTTTACCATTACTACAGGGTGTTAAAAAAAATTTCGTCATGGCAACGGTAAAAAAGTAACTTATTAAAAAGCGTTAGCCGTGAAATGTTCAAATTTAATTTCACCGTAATTCAATACTGTTAAAAGGTATCAGTCGTTAAATGTTTTAAGTAGCATTTCATTCTATCTTCTGTTAATTTTGTGTACTTTTTCAACACCCTGTTTATAAATTCGCTTCAATTAAGAATTCTTGAGCTCAAAATTATATCTTCAGTATGAATCATGATTTTTCATCAATGATTTAATAATCTTAAATTCAACAAAATGAAATGTGGCATAATTTTGAGTGCAATATTGGCATTTATTAAAAAAGTAAGTGACTGTTTCAAATATCAATGATGTCATTTAAAATTAGTTTATATGGTTGTATTGAAAGTTACATTGTTTTTGTTAAGTGCAATAGCCAACAAGTTCAGGCTAACTAAGAGTGCAAACTCTTCAAAATCTCAAGTTTTGATACAAATTTTGTATCAACTTATATGGTAATTAGAACATAAGGATTGGGAATTCTATCTATTTAGTTTAGGATCTTTGAAATATAAACTGATGGCTCTGTTTATTACAATATCAATAGTAAATTATGGCTATGTTTCAACACAGGCTATATTGTTGATGAAACCAATCTCCCAACCAAATCAAGGCAACAGAACCAAGAATCATCGAGATTAAGAAGAAAGAAACCATTAGAACCATATTTTAGTTCAAATAAAAGATAAGGGAGTGACTTACATAGCCAGATACCATTCTTATTTTGATTTTTAAGATTTGTCCTTATTTTTGAATACACAGGCGATGTTGACTATCAAATTGGATAGTGCTATATTTATAGTGGTATAGGATGTTGTAGATGTTAGTTCATGTTTGTGTCTATGTGCTACTTTTGTTTGATAGCTAACAGATTGTGTGAGAAGCCTTATTTTTGGTTTCGAACTGATGGAAATTCAAATAGCAAACTTGCCTATCTTAATACTAGATGCACTGTCACACATTATCAAATAAATTAATATTTTCTTATAGATACCCTATGCTTTTGTATTGATATCAAAGATGATTTAATATTGTTCGTTTTTGATCGCAAGTTTTGATAGATGTTTCTGCCATTTTTAATTATTATTATGCAAAATATAACTTACCATAAGCTGCAAAATTAATGTTTTTTTTTTCAATGTGGTTATGCTGGACGTGGTCAAAAAAGGCCTATCGAATCCAATACTTAGATAACGCCAATTTTCTAGAAAGGGTACAAAAATAGACTGGATGAAATATTGATCTGGTTCGTGTCTTTGAGCTCTAAAAAATATGAATTTTTTTTCTAGGTTCTGTGATCTCATAACAGAGACGGATTTAGGCATTAAGATTTGTCACTACTGGTGATTATTCATACCGCATGTTATATTAATCACTCTTGCCATGCTGATAGATATTTGACATGTAATCGGAATACATGTTTTGATAACGCTGTACTGTGAAGTCAGATTCTGGCTATGCAAGTCGACGAATAAACTTGCCTCCTGATAAAGAAGACGAGAATGTGGTTAAAAATGAGTGTAGCAAGCCAGACAGTGGCTAAGATACGTACATTGGCAGGAAACAGGTTAACTAATTTTTATTATTCGTCAGCCTAAATAAATTCCGAGATTCCGAAGCTGTATGAGGCTCTACAAGGTTTGGTAAAAATTAATAAACGCCATTAGCTATGGTAAATTGTTTCGTATTTGGGGACCTGATATGCCGCCTGCAGTCCGAGTGAGAATCTAGCCAATGAGTAATGTTGGCAGAGAAAACTACAATTCATTCCGGAATCAAGAGTATTGCGTTAGACAGTATGAATTTATGACTGGTGGACATGTCCAAAATTTGGAAATACACTTAAGTATTTTGATTTATCGTTAACTTGTTCGAACCGTTTAAGTCAGCTGACACTTTGCAATGAATTTCTAGAAATGCTAAAGGACATGGATTACAAGGGCGTAGTCAGCTCATTTTTTTCTTGTGTTAACTTCGCTGCTGAAGTTGTCCAAGCTATACAAGCGCGCAATCTCGACAGGGTTGGTAACTAGGCTTGCACGTAATTTACGTAATTACGTAATTATTTGGAGTTACGGAAGGGAAGTTACGAATTACGTAAAGTCGTAATTATTGCATTGAAACGAGCTTTCTTCAAAGCAGTCGATTGCGAAAAATGAAAGCTCAACAAGTAGAAGAAGTTAGAGTTCCGGTATTCGCAGCCGTTTTTCTCTCTCTTGTTACGTAGGTGAACGCATGACGCGTTGCCATTTACTGACCTATTATCAACTTATCTGGCGTGGCCAATGTAAATTATTAACGTAGTTAATGGGGGAAGAACTGAGTAGGGCCGTTTGACGCCAACACACCTGGTTTTAACTTCTCCCGCAACTTAACCATAGATAAGGGATAGAATTGCGTTGAGACCGATTGACGCCAACACACCTGGTTTCAATTTCTCTCGCATCTTATCTAGCATGGCCATGGCCAATGTACATAATAACCGTAGATAGGGGGACGAATTGTGTTAAGACCGATGGACGCTAACACGCCCGGTTTCAACTTCTTCGGGTGAAATGACTAATGGACGCAGGAGATCAATCTATCAAACATGGTCTATTAAACATTTGTATCCATTTTACTTTTATTTATTATTTACTTGTTCCAGTTTTCCGTTACTTATGGCAGTGGTCGGCAACCTTTTTTAAGTGACGGTCCGGTTTAGCCTGGTCAAAATTTTGATGGACCACCTTTATATAAACGAACTATGCTTATGTAGTGAATTCAAACGCGTTAGAAAATTTATGCTGACAATATACACAAAAACGAAGGTGATGATATTTATTGCGAGATCGGCATTTGTGCTATTGTTTCCAATCCGGAGATTGTATGAAACATCGATATTTACCATCTTTTTCGAACCGCGGAACACTTTTTAGATTATGAATTTTTCGCGGAACAACAAATGAAAATTTCTAAATTTCGTGGAAACTATTAAATTAAGCAATAATCACTGTCAGGTTTTGCGTAGGAATGAAATTACAATTAGACCAATGACTCAAGTTGTGAAAAGACGTAACAAATTCATTACTCCAGAGAACATAAGTACACTGAAGTACCAATGAGATTAAACCAAATATTTAAAACTGGCTGTTCGAAGCCGTTAATATCAATGCAATTTTAATATGGTATATGAACTTGTTTAAATGAGCACGCATCGTTTATCTTGGTCTGAATTTAGGAAAGGCAAACACGGAGTTCTCCTTCAATGGTCGGTCGTCTTTCTGGCGTCAAAAATCCTACTTGCACTTCTACTATTGAATGAATTTATTGCTTCTTTAAGGGTATTCTACGAGTCGGGTTTTAAATTTTCCCAGCTTTAAGCAACTTTTATAATTTACATTACGAAAACGAGTCAATGTTCCCGAACATGATTAAAAATGGGGTTTGAGCGATAATTAAATTTAAATTGTTACGTTTCCGTTTACATTTAGCTGTTTAGTTATTGTTTCAACTTCGTGCAAATATTTATCACAAGAAACAAAATCTCCTTGAAAACTGTGTCATAAAATATGCCAAAATATAAAAAAGAATTTGAAGACAACAACACGGAACACCAGCTTTCAGTCGTGGGGTTTGTAGATATTCGATTGTATATATGTTATCAGGGCCTTGTCTGTTTTTAGGTCACCTTTCTGCGGACCGGTAGTAATCTTTCTGCGGACCAGTGATGGGCCGCGGCCCGGTGGTTGCCGACCATTGACTTATTGTATATATGTTCCGTTTCTATTTTATTCTATTTTATAGTCACGCGTTTGAATAGTGGGAATTCCCCACCAAGTGTGGATTAGCAATGCTTAACCATTCTTTATTGTTAATATCAACACTTGATATATGAACATGGAATATCATATTGTTTTTGGCTGTTTCATTTCAGACTTGGGGTATAAACAGGAAAATATCCATAACCTTTCAACACGACGATCTTGTGAAATTTAACGAAGAGCTTTCGCGACGAATTGGAACCAAACAAGCGAAAAGAGCGATTGATCACTCGCGCCAATACCTCGCCGTGATAATTAATGTCACGCTTATCAAATAGCAATATGACGACAAAAGAGAGATTGCGTAATGAACCAAAACGACGGATTCCTCGCGGACCGTTGAAAATTTAACTGCTATCATATATAATCAAATATGAGCCTGTGTGTGTTCATTCTGTGCGAGATCCATTTTCTATTACAAAATCTTGATGTTCTGTTAACGGGTTTATCGTTATATATCAGTCCGGATCGCCGACTTGAGTTAGCAAATAAATGTTGTGAGTGTAAAATAAATGTCACAAAATGCATTGTTTTGCGATATAACGTTGTATTTTCGGAGAAGGCATGTCATATAAGTTCGGTATTTAAATTATACGCAAATAAATAATATTTGATCTAAATTATCGCAAATAATGTTATAAACATTCAGTCCGCGAAATGATTGAATGTAAAATGAAGCATGGTAATCGGAATATCGTCAATAAGTCGACATCAATGATTATTATTATAAAAATGCTAACAAGGCAGTAATGTCGGATAATGCAGAAAACGCTGCAAAAACAAGTCTTCGTCGCGAGGAAATCGCAAGTATAATCAAATGAGAGAATACGCTCGTCGTTGCTTAATAAATTAGAAACCCGTACTTTTTATTCAGTACTAAAGTGGTTTTAAAAAACTATCGTTTCCATAAATATCCGTATACCAGTGTCGGTAATAATAAAATAAAATTGATCGCATAAAAATGGGACGGTTAATTTGCGAAGGTGATAAAGAAAAACCAAAGCTAACACAAAAGATAAAAATCAGAATAAAATTAATTTGAATTCACTCCTTGATAGTTGTCTTTAACATCTGCCGCCGGCGTGTAGTACTGCCAAGAATATGAAAACCCAACTTCAATGTCCCATTCGGAAAAAAAGTGGATTCAATGGGTTGTTACGATAGGTTTAAATGCGTGGAAAAATATCGCAATTACGGGGTCATTACGTAATTGATTTTGCCGTAATTACGGAATTGATTTTTGTCAATTACGTGCAAGCCTATTGGTAACGTGCCATACATTATGATAATACTGCCAAGAATATGCATATACCGCCAACCAAATATACATGCTCGTATCAGTGGGCCACCCTCTATTGTCGTTTAATATAACGTCGCTTAAACGTGCGAATACCGCGACAGTGGAGCCTGTAGTGTCAACCTTAGTTGGATCGACTAAACAGATCGGGCGACAACAAAATGAGTGTTAACGATGTGACACGTTTTGGCGGCCCATCTGTGCTGTCGAATATATAAGTCGGCGAATCGCCGTTTGGAAAAAAGGAGAAAACTAAGAGTAGAATACTGTGATTTAATATCTTACTGTTGTTATTAAATATCTCGGAACTTAAGACTGTGGCACTTTATCTGAACAAGAAGACTTAAAGAAAGTATAGCACACCGTACTGAGACGTTAAGAAAGGGAAGAAGAAACGACACGCGCCGGTACGGCCCCTGCATACATATACAGTACTACCAAGTCATATGCATATATAGCCAACACAATTTACAAATAAAGCCATTGAGGTGATATACAAATACTGCCAAGTCATATGCATATATAGCCAACTCAATATATAAATTAAATACAGCCATTAAGGTGATGTATAAATACTGCCAGATCATTTCGTAAGAATACAATTTATGTATATGTGGTCGCATCCACGATTTATATGCACATTACGGGTTGCTCATATGATTAGCGCATTATTAAAAAGCGTAAAAAACTCCAATACGGCTAGTGATCGATAAGGCATGAGCATACAGGGGTGAGGCTTTACATACATGTTGATTGCGCACAAAAATACATAAAACTACCAGTGTTCGTTGTACATGATAACTATACAATATGTACCAATCTATAATATCATAATAACAGCTGGTCGTTGATTACACAAGAAATATGCTGGCTGGCTGAAAATCTCTCTTCAGTGAACTATTTATTGGCTACTGGCAATAAACTGTCCACAAACTAATCAAATTAACACTTGATGGAAAATAAATGTCCAATATGCGCCAATCTATGATGTGATAATACCCCACGAGAGCTGATCGTTGA